AAATTTTGAAAAAAATTCAAACTACAAACTGGAAATCACTTAAACAATGAGAATGGGAATGGGAATTTGAAATGAAAAATAAATGAAATGAAAAATGCAAAATGCAAAATAAAATGAAATATTTGTCTTTGTTTTTTTTAAATGGAAAGAAATTAAATTTCTAAAAAAAAACGACAATTAATTTGAAATTTGAGAACAAAACTTAACAAGTGATTTTGAGAGCCCTTAGCTTTTGGATTTTGAATTGCATTTCAATTTCCTATTGTTTTGGTCCATTTTTTCCATTTTTTTCCAAAATTTTTCCAACCTCTAATATTTTCTACGATAAAAAATGGAATGGAATTTTTGTGACTAAGTGGAAAATAGCAAAGGAGTGAGATTTCATTTCATTTGAAAAAAACAACCAAACAAAACAATAATAATAATAATAATTCTTCTCTGATCACATGAGTGGAACTTAAAAAAGCGCCACCAGCCTTGTTAGATGTTGCCGATAGGAATGAAATGGAATGCGGAATGCTGCAAACGAATATGAAAATTCTCTTATTTTGTTAGAAATTTGGTGTTTTAAACAGGAATTGGATAAAACATTTGTGGATTATATGAAAAAATTGGAAAATTTTTCGGTTTTTTTGGAAATCTCGAACGAATTTGAAAATTTTTCAAATAATGAAATGATAAATTTGCTCATTGGATTGCTATCTTTGCCTTTGTTTACGTATAAAACTCAGAAAAAATACTACAAGGATACGACGAAGACAAATGGGTGCCTATCCGCTCTGAGCTCAAAGTCCCTGGGGGTCTTCTAAGGTCCGGTCCGCTCCAGTCCAGTCCGGTCCGGTCCGGTCCGGTGGCCATCTCCTGTGTGATGTGACAAATGGCCGCCTCATTCGCCTGGACTCCACTAGTCGTCGATCATCCACGTACGGCACCTAGTAGAAGACCAGTTTCTTAGTTGTTTTTTTGAGGATGCTTAGTCACAGCTGGAATTTTCTGCATTCCGTTTCCTCTCTGACCACATTAGTAGAAGTTTTCTTTGAAGTGACAAATGTCATCAATTTCTCTCTAAAATTCCATCTCTCTAATTCCTTTTGTGGTTCATCTGAAGCTGATATACTGAAATGCTGGACAACCGCTTGATATACTGGCATAAACTGATAACATATTGATTCCATGAGCTGATAATACAATCTGATATCTCAGATCAGTTACATGTTGATCTGGTATTGATCAAATATCTCAGAGCAATTAGATCTTCATCAAATATCGATCAGATATCTCAGCTCAGTCGGATATTGATCAAAACATTGGATATCTCTGATTAGGCCTAACC